GAAATGGTTTAACGCTCAAGGTATTTTGCAGTGACGATGATTTTTGGTGATACACCACTTTTTCAGAAGTGCTATCATCTACATTGAGAACATCGGGTGAGAAAGAGCCATGATATCCAGGAGATGGTGGTCTGCAAACATCATAGCAATCTAGAATGATTTGTAAAACAACAATAGCTCTAGAACAAAAAGTAATAATTTAATTTATGAATTCTAAGTATATTTTTTTCTGTGGAAAGATGAAATTGCTCGAACACAGTAATAAGCAGTAAGTTATGTCAAAAAATGCGAATTCAATCCTTATGCTGAAATCACCTGAAACAATTCCTTCGTCTGAAACAGGAGTGCAGACAAGTACTTCACAATCAAGAAGTTTTAATGGCCATTCCATCGTGAAGCTGTTTGGTAAACTAGTGGGTGATTCGAGATGGCGCGGATGGCTATAATCACTAAGAGTCTTTAAATGAAAGGAATCAAATAAGAATGACGTGGATAAAACAGACTTTAAACAATAAGTGCTCCCTACCTTAGGGCGAGCGGGAACAGAAGCCAAATGATGAGACGCGGCAAGAATAGGAATCACCTTGTAATGAGGATTTGTAAGATCTTTATTAAGTCCCTTGTTTAGCTTAATAAGTTCTCTTAATTCAAGTTGAAGTAGCCAAAGATAGTTGACAACTTGCAGCAAATTATTAATTTTATCCAGCAATTCAATGTAGTTACAAAGATCTGCTTGCGAAGGAGGATTGAGATCGGATTTTGGAATCGGGATTTCTAATTGATATTGAATAGGTGAAAAGGCCGCACGAGATACAGAAGTAGGAGATAAAAAATTTTCATAGCCAAAACCAAGGGCATTAGCATTTCCATGAAGGCTGTTTCTGTTATGTCTTTTATAAGCTATGACTGAAATAAGAAGACGTTGGCAGGAGTGGAGGATGAAAGCTGTTTGCCTTAAGGCATAGTGCTGGAGCTGTATAAAAAATATAACTATTTGTATTAAAGGAATGTAACACATGAACATTACGTATTACAATATTTTAGTAAACATATTATATAATGTCCGGTAAATATACAAAAGGATTGGAAATAAAATACCAAAATCAGGAACACAATTCTTTCATGGCTAAGGAAAAGCTTGGAATGGAAATAGTGAAGTAAAAACTGTCTTAGCTAATACAGCAATTATACGTAAGAGGCAAAGACATGTAGAGGTATAATGGTAAGTCGAAGATATATTATAAAAAATAAATTTCAAGATTTATTGGATTAGACAAGAGTTAATGGGACTGCCAACAAGATTCAAAAAGCAAGTAAAAATAAATAAATATACATAATGTAAGTACCTTCAACTTAGCAGGGCTCAGTCGTAAATGAAAATCTCGCCTGAGAGCTTCCGTCACTCTATTTATCCCATGTAGTTTTGCCTCGGCCTCTTGAACATCTAAAGTCACAGCTAAAGGAAGTGTGAGTACAGTGGGCCAATATATAATATAATGTAAAGCTTATTACCAAGTAATGTTCTTGGTTGGTCGGTTTTAAAACTCAAGTTTAAAGCTTCGTCATAGGAAGCAATCCAAAGGCCATCCAGATCTTTAAGATAGTCCACAATGTCGATGCCGAAGAAGGCAGAAGTAGGTACAATATTTCGTTGAGGATCGTCCTCTGACATAGACAACAAGGTGTTGCCAAGAGAATGAATTAGGTCAAGAACTGGTCGATAGTCACAAAAGCCATCTAGGAAATCCTAAAGCATATATATATATATATATGATAACGGAAAGTTACTAGATTAATTAGATATTCCGATCGACAAACAACTCCAGAATAGGGCAGTGGGGTTTTTTTTACATGCAATAACCATCCATACAATTCTAAGTAATTTTTCAAAAAACTGCATAAGGTATGAACAAATGATGCAAAAGGATGGTCCGATTTGCGCTTAATAGGTCTATTTGCAGACTATATAGTGAGTAAATAAGAATAGCTAAGAATACCAGATGCATACAGGATAATAAATTGTTTGAAGCCTCGATACAACCATTTTGCAGATCAGAGAAAAAGGATGCGTCATTATCGGTGAGAGTAGGCAAATGCATAAAAAATAGAAAAAAGTTAAAGCAAATTAGGCGCCGTGAGCAAAGTACTGAATTGGAATTATCAAAACAACCAAACTATAATAAATTTTCCTTAAAGCAAAAACATTTTAAACAAATTTTTATTAGTTTAGCAAATTTTAAGTGATATTTTGATGTATATAATTTTGTCTAAGTTTATAAATATGCTGTTTAGTAACAGTAGATTGAGAAATACTTACGATACTTTAAAATTATCAAATGAACAACAAAACAATGCACTCTAACTGTATGGGTCATATAGATGATAGACTTTCATTTTTTCATTAAATGATAGCCAAGCTACAACTCAGATATTTCCTATTGGTGAGATGTTCTATTAAGAAATCGATCGTTATCCTTTTTTTTCGAGTTATTGCTATTATTATTAGTAATTATTTAATCATGTTATCAAATCATTATAGTTCATTTTTACTACAGAATATTGACCTGCTGGTCATAGATATATAGGAAAAATTATGACCCTTTTTCCTCTGATATATATGTGTTTATCAATTACATATATATAATTACCAACAATTTTGCTCATACAAATAAATGATTGATTCTCAAGGAAACATAAGTTATTTCTGTGCAGATATTTTCAGCAGCCAAATAGCTAGCTACGTTAAAGACAGTATGGAGCAGATACCAGCATTTTAAAAAGTTTATGGCATATATCTAGATTAGGAAGCTTTGAAGTGTTGATATATACACACGTGATGTAGATGAAAGCACTTTAATTTACCATCTCATAGGTAACCCTATTTCGAGTATCTTGTACGAGAAGAAGGATAATGTATTATGTGATAATCTTAGAAAAATGGAGTGTAATTATTAAATGAAAAAAAAGATAGAGTAAAAAAGTATACAATATAATTTGCTGTATCCTTGAAAAAAGTATGAAGATTTTCCTATTTGTACTTTAATGATGCATTGATTGTTTATAAAATGGTAGTGACTATTATTAAAACTGACTACAATACTTGTTAAACATATTCGAATGTACACAATCAGGTTTCAATGCTGGATAAGCCTGTTATAG